GTCAACACATTTAAAACATCGATATAAATGATATAATTTTGTTTCTGTGACAAAATGAATGAAACTAATATACTTAAAGTAGATTGATAAATTTTTTTCATGACCTATCAACAAGAACATATTAATAACAGATAATAAGAACAGAGTCAATGCAAGAAATTGGAGAAGAATAAGGAAAACAGAGTAAAGAAAGAACCTGGAAAAAAGGAATTGGAGAAGAAGATCGTTGAAGAAGAACATTGTAAATCGTAGGACTCAATCCAAAATCGTAAGAATAATAACTTCAATGTATTATATATAGGGTGTTTTTGAATAAGCAAATGATTGTCTTCTAAAAAATTGGGATCCTAAGATATCATCTTGGAGATTTTCGGCTCATCTGGAAAAACAGAATGATATCAATTATATTAATTCAAAATTTCAAATTAATTGGCTTGCTTATTTAATGAGTTTTAAAATTCAAACCATTATCTCAAATTGATTCATTTTATGTGAGATATATTGGGAGATAATTTATTAATAATATTAACTTTAATTTTGATTCTCAAATATTTTGCTGATTTAATGAGATTAGATTATATTTTATAGGTTAACAACTGAATTATTGATATGCTTATTTAATGAGTTATTTCAAAAAAAAAAGTTTGAATTTTGAAACCAAAAACTATAACTAAGGGAGTTAAATTAGGAACAATATTAATTAGAGAAATTGATATCATGTATATAAATCAAATGATATGCTTCAATTGATAAAATAATTGCTGAATTTAAAGATTCTATAATTAATAAAGATTATATAATTAAATGTAATTGTGTTTGAATTCTATTTTGGGAAGATGATGTCAACAATTTGATCTAACAGTGGAAAAATAAGATTGAAACACAATCAAGGGTCTTGATTGCTTCATTGATGAATTAAAGGTTCTCTTTTAATAGCTTATTTATAGAATGTAAAATATAATAAAGTCTAAACATAATTCTGTTTATATTTTATAAATAAATAATTTATTAATAAGTTTCAGAGTGTTATTATTATTTTTTGATAATTTTATATTATTATATTTGATCCTTTTAGTTTAGTTATATATATATATATATATATATATATATATATATATATATATATATATATATATATCTATATATTATTTGACTTGTAGTAATTTTGTGTCCATATAATTTGAGAATATTTAATTATTTTTAGGCAAAATAAATTTGATAACTTTTTCAAATGTATTTAAAATTTTAATACTTTTTAGTCATTTATAAACCGATAAAATATTTTCAACAATTTTTTGTTTTGTATAATTGCATTAAAGACAAAGAGACTCATTTCGATCTATAAAATGTGTTAACCGATCATTTATGAAAATAATTTCCAGCACATGAATATATAGTATTTCTTTTGATGTATGCATGATATTTCTTCAATGTACTATGTGTAATATTTCTTTAAATGTATATATAATGTTTATTCAAATATATATGTAATATTTCTATAAATGAGTGCGTATATGTTATGAATGAAATTATTTATTTAATAAAATAATTAATTTATTAAAATCACAATTAATTTGAGTTATTTTTATACGAACTTTTTATTTGTTTATACTTATTTCATAATATAAATTTTAATGTTAGTGTAACAAAAAGATGTCATACAAATTTGTAAAACCTTATAATCTGAAGCAATATATATATATATATATATATATATATATATATATATATATATATATATATATATATATATATATATATAATGAAAACGAAATATTCTTAATATGTTTTTGGCATTACATAAAAAAGAGTGGTGTTTGCTTTAAACTATATTTTACACTCTAAAAATAAACTATAAAAGTAGATGTTGTAGTCTAAGTAGTTATTTAATGCAGTGCTTAATTCTTCAATTCTGAAGCAAACTTTTTACATCTTTTAGCTTTTAAAAAAACTTTAATCAAAGAAAAACTCTGTTTCGAAATACGAAATAGAAACCTTTATTTTAAACAACAAACACATAATTCAAAAACTATTTTAACTCAGTTTTTGTCGGTTTTAGTTTTAGCTAATATTTTTTATAAATATTTCTAAACAAATAAAAATTACAACTTCCAAACTACTAGCTATTAGTTACTCTTACCAAACACACCATGAATTAGGGATGAACTTTTTAACCGAAAAACAGAACCGAACCGAAACCGAAACCGGTTGGAACCGGTTAGTGGTATTCAGTCCAGTTCCTCCAATTCATCATTTTTTGTTTCTGGTTCTTTCGGTTCGAGCCAGTTCCGATACCAAACATCTTTTTAGATAGCAGACGTAGTAGAACCGAAATCGAAACCGAAACTGATGGAAACCGATTAGTGGTATTCGGTCTCGTTCTCAGTTTCTCGTCCACTCCGTAATCAGTTTTCGGTTCTTTCGATTCAAGTCCGGGTTGGTCTGATTTCAGACCGATTTACATCCCTACCATGAATTATGGGTGAGCATTTGGACCTTCAGACCGGACGGGACCAGACCTGGAAAGTCTCAATAGGTTGGTCCAAGATTCATCAATTTCTGCAAAACCGGTTCGATCCAAGATTCGGTCCGGTCCAGTTCAGTCCAAATGATCACCCCCACAATTAAGAAACAAACTTAGACCTGGACCTCGTAAGCCTCAACATGTTCGGTCTAAGGTCCACCAATTTCTGTAAAACTGGTCCGGTCCAAGAGTCGGTCCAATCCAGTCCAGTACAAATGTTCATCCCTACCATTAATAAACAGTTTTCAGTAAAATAGTTTTTATTTATAAAACGATTAATTTATTAAATATAACATTTGAAAATTTTGCATTGTGTAACAACTTACAATTGTATTTTGTAAGTTTTCAAATTTATATATATATATATATATATATATATATTAAACTTGGACAATTGTTAGGAACAGTACCTGACCAGGGTACTGTTCCTCCGGTTACTCTCCTCTATACCATACATGGTTGCCGCTTCTGGATGCTTCCCACCGCCTCTCTTATCGTTATTCCATTACGTTTTCTTTTACTTCCCAATCCTTCCATTGTCTTTCCTTTTATTTGCCATCGGTTTTCATCTCAATCCTTCCACCGTCTGTGAGGGCTTCTCTTTAGAACCGATTGAGCACCGCCATCACCACCGTCTGCTTGGTCACCATCGCCTCCCCATCCTAATTACCTTACACCGCTTAAAAAACGACTGCTTACAACAACCCTAATGGAGCTGTCGGTCGACTGTTTTTTTGTGATGATTTCTACAACGAAGCAACAACACACACCAGTGCTTTTGTTGGTGATGGTGTGGCGGCGTTGGCTGCTGTGGTGGCTGAGGTTAATCGTCGACCGTTATCTCCACCGCCCACCGCCATTGACATTGACACCTGGTGGTTGTCGAGGCCAACAAAATAAATACCCTAAATATTACACACTAAAATAGTGTATAGTGGTAAAGGGATCATATCCACGGAGATTGGTTCAATTTTATAACTCTATGATAATCTTGTTGTACAAACACTTGTAAAACTAAAATAAAATAAAATTGGGGGATTTTGATCTTTTGAGATGTTTAAAAGAAAACTAGAATTACACTAAGATTTAAAAACACAATTCAACAAAAGAAAAGTTTGATGTAAAATCAATAAGAGAAAGATGGTTGACTTTGGACTTTCATCACTTGAACATGTGGTTAAATAATCATGAGAATACCAAGGTGCAATACTTGTGTTTATAATCTAACTTGGCTATAGCAATTTATAAGCATAACTTGCCTCAACTCTTCTTTTGTATTAAAATGACTAGAGAAGCTCATAGCACATTTCCTAAATCAAAGTCACAAAACTAATGAAGCATGCAATTTTGTGAAAATCAAATAGCATTAGATTTTAAGAGTCACCAAATCCAAAGAGTAATCTATTGCTTTCATTACCACTATGGAGAAAATATTTTATTAGTCTAAATGAAATGAAAACAAACATTTAAACTAATTGTTGCTTGTTAAATTGAAGACCCATTACTTAGCCAAGAATTTAACCAACAAAAATAACATTCACATATCAATATTCATGACTAGAGATATATAATCATGAAGGAAGTTTTCATAGAAAATATAATCATAGATATTCAACACAAGTTCATGGAGTTCTTCAAAATAACCAAATCATTCAAGAAATTACATCCAAGTCAACCAAAAGAAGTTTAGCCTAGCATGGCTAAACTCAATAAACTAAAATAAAAATAGATAGTACCAAACATGTAGCAAGATTTAAGAGTGAAAAGATGATGTTCTTCACAATGTTCTTGGTGTTCTTCTAGCTCCAAACTCCAGAGAAAAGTCAAAAAAATCGGATATAAAGTTCTCTCAAAAGTGGCACTCCAACCATCCCCATATAACTCAAAAGAAGAATTTCCGGAATTGCCCCTGCAGGGGGTTGCGCGGCCCGCGTGATGTTGCGCGGGCGGGTTGGGCGGGTGGTGCCCGATATGGGCTATTTTGAGTTTTTGGGCCTCCAAAGCATATCCCACTGGCCCAGTTCGAGTCCAATAAGCTTGTAGTCCATAATTCTTCATGTTTTCTTCAATTTAAGCCCAAGATGACTATTCCAAATGATCCATAGCTCACGTAATCAACCGATCATTAATCTGCACATGCTCGAATATTCTTCCGGTTCTTGCAAATTCAAACTTTATTTTCTCCAAGCCTTCAAATAATCATCAAGCCCGCTCCATGCATCAACTTCCATTATTATAAATCCCAAGATCCTTGACATCCTCTAAGTCCAATCGCCTCCAAAAGATTCTGCACCGCTAGTCTCCTTAAAATCTGCAATTATGCTCACGAAACTAGAAAATACCCGAAATGGTCATAAAATAACAAAAAGAAAAATATGCATTGAAATTAACTAAATTATGGATGAAATATGCTAAAATAAACTATAAAAAGAAGTAAATAAAATGAAACTATCAACACCAACAACTTTTATCTACGTCTTGGTGTTTTGCTTCTCTTTTGCACTCACAATCCTCGAATTCCCGTCCACCCCCTCCTTCTGATTCTTCACTCTCAACGCTTCCACTACCTTCCTCCAACTAACTGCGTCTCCTACCTTCTTTTTTTTTTTGATCTGAAGGTCCGATTGACCAGACACACGTGCAGAATACATTGACACAAACAGGTTTGATACAAGTTGTACCTTACATCGGATTCTAAGTATTGGTTGTTGGTTGTTACAGAGTTTTTTTTGTCGTACTTTGTTTGTTACAGGGACTTGGTTGTTTTCTCATTTGTGTGATGATGTTCAATTAGGAGTGGCAGTAGCTTCACATGGGTGAAAGTTGAATATACAATTCACAGAAAGCTTTTGACATCTTCTTGCACCAAGATTAGTTTCTGTGTTTGTTTCTTCAGGGTTTATTGTTTTGGGTCTTTACTCTGTAATTTTCTATTTTTGTCACGAAGATTTGGAGATAATATCTATGCTTTTACTATTATGGATAAACTTCTGGTCGGCGACCACCAGGTATTCGATGAAATGCCTAGGTCACTTCTTCTGTTTTGTTATCATCACTTTACCTAAAAGTATGCATCTTTATATTATTTCATTTTTGAATTTGAATTACACAATAGTTTTATACTTTTATTGCTTTAAAAGCCACTTTATTGATCATCTTTCTTATATAATTCAGGAACTTTGGGCTTTGTTTAACTTCCGTTGTCCAGAGCTTTTGGGAGACAAGAAATGGTAATATTTCATTTTTTTTCTTTTTCTTCTTATTGTTATGTTATTTACTTATTTATATCTATTTTCTTTTCAGTTTTAAGGAAAAATATGAGTCAGCAATCCAACGTGGAAATGACAAAAATGCATCTGATAGAGATAAGCGCATTGGTTCAGCTGTTGCACAGGTTATTAGTTATATTTCCCTAAATGACAAAATAGTTCATAAATATTAAGGCAATAACCTTTTGCTATGATTAAAACTATAAAAAAAAATAACATTTATCCAAACTTACAAACAGGATTTAAGAAATTACATTCAGCTCTATTTTCTCAGGCGTTTGAAAAGTGAAGTTTTTCGTGATAATGATGCTACAAACACTGTCAAGCTTTCTAAAAAGAATGAGATTATTGTTTGGTTAAGATTATCCAAATGTCAGGTACTTACATTAACTTTTTTTATATTCTTTATTTTATAAAAAGTCAACTTACATTCTTTTTATCTTTTTTAATTGCTGAAAAATTAGCAATGCATATAGCAGATACTGCAATTAATTGTTGCAACTAAACAGATACGATCTAGAAACATCTGTTCTTTCTATCAGGAAGCCATCGACAGGTTAAGGATTGTGTTGAGAGTGATCGTAGCAGGAAAGGGCATTACATCAAGCGGGTTCCTGCGATTTTTAAGGTAAGGGCATTTTAGTCTTTTTTATTTTTATTTTAAATATAATTGATTTCGCTTTAGAAAAAATGATTATAAACTATTAAAAAAACATTAAAAGAAATTGATTTTGATATATATATGATATTTTAAATGATTAAGAAGGGATTTCACTAATTAAATCTAGAATTACGAGTTTGACTACTTAACTCTACTAAAATATTAAATGTATATTTTTTTATCTATTTACAAGCCCCTATAAAGAATGGACCTGCTGTACATTTAAAAACAAACAATGTTCAACATTCTAACTTTTTTTTAAATTATTCATAAATTATAATCACTAATTGAATTGACCTGATGGTTGATAGTTGCAACAATTAATTGCAGGAAGGAAAAAAAACCCGCTGACAGGTTAATGATTGCGTGCTCATGCTTTCAACTATCTCCTACCGCTTTAAGTTGCAAGTATGCATATTGATGTAGACTCAACAACATAGCATAAACACTTAAACAGAGTAGTTTGCATTCTACAGTTAACTAATACCTTTTACAAAATTCATAAATTGTCCATGAATTACTATATAATCCTTCATATTCATAAGAAGCACCAGATGCAAAAAATGATCGTATCTGTTTAGCTCTATCCCCGCAACGCGGGGCTCCTCATCTAGTTTTATTATAATTAGTGACAGTTACATTAAACAGTAATTTTAATATTTTAAAAAGCATTTCTTTATAATTAATTTAAGAAATTTAGTTTGATTTTCTATTATTACATTTATTACACAATACTTGATATAAATAAATAAATAATAACATTGACGTGGTCTCATTTTTATCTAACATAATGATACAAATCAGTCTCAGTATGACATCAAAATGACATATTTTTTGGTCTAAAATCCATTTTTAAATCGTTAAAAATTAACATTTTATATTGTTATAAAATATGTTTTCCGTAGATCATACAACTGAAACATGAAGCTCGATGGAGGTTCAAATCATCAAAAATTTAATAAATTGTATGTTATTTTTCATTGAACGTGATACCCTAAATATCATTAAGTTTAGAAAGTAATTACACCGTTGTACTTAGGGGTGAGCATGGTGCGGTTTTAGGGCCAAACCGAACCGCAAACCGCAAGGTGTGGTTTTTGAATTCTAGAAACCGTTGGGTGCGGTTTTTCAATGGTTCAGTTTTGCGGTTTTGAGTGCGGTTTCGGTTTGTACGGGTTCGGTGTCGGTTTTAAACCGAGTCAAACATATGGTGCGGTTTTTTTATGTTCACCGGTATAATTGTTTTAACCGTGATGTTCATGTGAAGATTTATGATTGTATGACACAGTGTCATTTCGTTTCCTCACATTTAGAAGCTGTAATTTTGAGTTTTTTATGTTGTTTACTTGATCACTTCATTTGCAACTCATATTCCCAAGCTCATTTTTTTATTCAATTTGCGTTTAGAAGTTACAAGCTTACAAGTTGTAGCCCACATTGTGTTTACACTTTACACATAATCATTAAGTCACTAACACAAAGTGACAAACTCACATATTAAACCTAATACCTAATTACTAATTACCGTCAAGTTTAATATATGATATATGTATAGATTAGAATTTACTAGTTTTTTAAATAATATATATAATTGTATAATATAAATTAGTGATTTATTTTATTGTTAATAAGCTTGCGGTGCGGTTCGGTTTTGGTGGTCCGGTTTCTAAATAAAAACCGCACCGTACCAATAAACTCGGTTTTTCAAAAAAATAAAATCCGCACCATCGGTTTTTGCGTCGGTTTCGGTTTTTCGGTTGCGGTTTATTACGGTTTTTGCGGTTTTTGTTTTATCGGTTCGGTTTTTGCTCACCCCTAGTTGTACTCGTCATAGATCAATAAGTTCAAAGATAAATTTTTAATAATTTATCTAAATACATATATCAACAAAACATAATTTAACTATTTTTATATTTATTCATATAAAATAATAAATGACTTTACAAAAACAAATAAAATGATAGCAGTTCTTTATATGTATTAATTCTTAACTAAAGTTAACATCTATAATTATAACCTGTATTTTTAACTTTGTATTCATCTAAAATGTTGATCATATGTTATAAAAGTTATAGATGTATGATATAAGAGCATCCATAAGAATTAACTATTTAAGAGTTTATTTACTTTGTCATATTATGTTCTCATTTTTCATTAAAAAAAATATATTTGTAAATCATCTCTAATGCATAAAATTTATTAAAAGTTTTTTTCAATAATCAAATATTTATATCCTCACTTATTTAAAACATTTTATAAACACTTCATCCTCTAAACACTTTTTGTAATGGTTTTTATATTATTTATAATCAACCCATGTTTTTCGTTAGCCAAATTGTAGACATCCCTACCTTAGGTGAGATCCCTTTTTAAGTGCCATGGTTTTTTTAAGGTAAAATGACCATGATTTTCACCTACTTTAATATATTATCCAATTTTGCTAAGGTAGAATCATTGCAAATTTGCAATGATCGACTATAAATTTGCAATACAACACAACAATTAAAACATACAAATCATAATCAATGAATGAAATTTGTTAGTATGTCTCTATTTTGTATATAATAACAATTTTGTATATAATAACAATAACATGATAAATTGCCAAAACCCGATAAAAATAAATCATGTTTTAAGTTATATGTAAAAATACATTCCACATAAATACATTAAATCATTTGAACCTTGCCTACAATTACAAAAACTTTATAGCACACCTCCATACCCATCATATACAAACTCAACAAACTTATAAGGATTGACCGGGACTGAACAAATATTCTAGAGCTAGTTTTGTCATATTGACATAAGTCACGGTCCAACATATGAAATCCAGTATAACATGTCATATCGTGCATCATGTGTTTGTCATGGCAACATGCTTAGTAGGACGCACTAGGGTTGTTTTGGTGTCTTTTTCAAGTTTCATATGGGTAGATGGGTTGTATTTGAGGCTAACGAGAATTTGGCGCATTCTAGATAAGTCAGTAGGCTTACCAGGCTTTGGACCCTGAATTACCACAATCGATGTCGGTTTCTCGTCTTCTTTTTTCCCTCGTTTCTCTAATTTTGGGACTTCCTTTGGGATCATTTCGGCAATTGCCTTGAAATAATTCTTACCGGCTTCTGCATGGAACTTTTCTCGGCTTTCCAGATGCAACTGTATTCAGTAACAAACAATAATTAATGATGACAACGACAGTGACAAGACGCGATAGCACCAACGATGTGACAATGACAATGATGTGACTTTGACCGTGTGATTGCGATTAATGTTAATGAAACAAAAAAAAAGTTGGAAGTAATGATTAAAATATTAAAAAAAAAAACAACAACAACAAAACTTCACCTTCTCTTTTTCCCTATTGATAGTGGTATTGTTCTTGCATCTAGCTTTCCAATTTCTATGAAACTCAACTTTATATTTATCAGCAGCTGCAATTATTTCTTTCATGGATTCTTTCTCCTGTGTCTCTTTCTCCTCAAGCCTAATTGCATTTTTCCTAGATATCAACATTCACAAATCACAAGTTTATCCCAAAACACTTCATTTCCTTCTTACCAAAGAATAAAAGGACATGAGAATGTTGAGATTTGACTAAAAAAATTACTATAACAAATATGATAACAGCTAACTCTGTTTTTTATATTAGATTCAAGAATTCTACTTGTATACTTTTATGATTTTCTGTTACTTACTGATATTCACAGCCTAAAGTGTGAGAAAATTATGACAAATCCAAACCCTTCCTTCAAGGATATGATTCCTTCTGTAAATTTTAATTTTGGTTCAACATATTACATATAATAATTGCTAATTAATCCAAAACATGTTTTCTTAGTTTTCAACAACTATTGCAAATCCGAAGTTGATATGATCTTTAAACTGTTAAATTCGCTATCAGTTGAAGCCACAAGTAAGAAACTGGAAAAAAGTTAAGATATCACAAACTCACCGGCGCCATTCTCTCAGAGCGAATCCTTCCTCCAGCTGCATCTCCATCGGCGGAGGTAGAATTGGTCCGTCAGACGCCGCGGCGCCACCAGTCAGCTCCTCCGTCAAACCATCTCCGGCAGTATCAAGTAGTGACATGAGGTCGGTCTTCTGGAACTTTCTCCGTTCAGCGGGACGAATACGAGTAAATGTTTTTACGTTACTTGTAAACTTGAATAAGAGAAAGTAATAATCTGCTACAATCAGTTGCATTATAAGATTACACGTGTCGGCTATTTGTTAGATTTGAAGTTGAGTAAATGCTTCAGAGCCTATAGATGTTAGACACGTGTGCTTGGGCAGTCCTGTCAGCACCCAGAAGTTCATATGCTATGCGTGCTCCTTTAGAATCTTTTTTCCAAATTTGGTCAAAGCAATGCATTTTTTAAAGGAAGAGGCTTTATTAAATTTAAATGAATAAACTATTTATCATTAAATAATAAATAATATAAATGATTTAAATCTCAATCTTATAGAAAGGTAATGTTGATGTTCTATATTTATATCCATGTGTTTATATTTTATATCGTTGATAGTTGTAATCCTATAACACTTTAGGCTTTGTTTTTTTTTAATCTTTAAGAACATTTTTAACAGTCGTTGTTTTTTTACAAAGCTTTCTATTATTTGAAAAAAGATAACTACATAGTTTTTTATAATAAAAAAAAATAGAAAGTGATACGTACACAATAAATTTTTTCCATATACAACAATTTATGTTTTATAAAATTGTATAAAACAACACTTTATAACAAAAATTGTTGTGTATGGAAAAAAATTATTATGTACGAACTCCCTAAAAAATAATAAAATTTTCAACAAAATAATTATATTTATAACAACTGAAGTTATTATTTTATTTTTTTTTCTTTAAAAAAATGCCATTAACATTTAAAGATATTTTCATAAAAATCAGTTTTAACATACTATGCTCAATATCATGTCATCATTAAATGGCAAGCATTATTTTTTCTTCAATAAAATTATTAAATTTTATATTTATATTTGAGTTACTCATTTTAAAATTATTATTACTATTAGTAACATTTCTTCATATAGTTGTTGATACAAGGATTAGAAGGTTTCAAAAAAAAGATTTTGACACATGAAACTATCCTTGATGGTCAAGAAACATTGTTTTTTAAAGTTATAAGTATAAAATGCCACTAACCCCTTAAATGATCCCAAATAGACCAAAAACACCATAAGACATGGCAAAAACAATAAGTTTTGATTATTAGATATGTTTTTTTTTTATCACCCATGAGAATTTTGTTAAGTTTTGACACCCAAGTTCATAGAGATGCAACAAAATGGCTAATCTATAGGTTTTTATAGTTGGTTTTTAAACTAGTTTTTTCCAATCCAATCCAAAAATCAGTTACATATGATCAAACATTTATAACCTTAAAGTGGTTTGAATCCGACCTAATTTTATACAATACTGGTTTGCTGAAGTAGGACACAAAATAACTAGTTTCAAATAGACCCATATCAGTTTTAAATTGAAGTTATGAGTTGGAATGGTGATGTGAGACGATCTTAAAGACAGGTATACTATACTGGATTGCACAAATGCTTTCATACATATTCATGTTTTAGGTACTATTTTGAGGGTTGTTTCATACTGCTGCCATGGACTCAAACCCAAGTGTGTTGATTTTATTAATACCAAAATCCCAACTCATACTCAACTTAGTTACGTCTTGGGAGATATTCATTTGAAATTGGACCACTTTCCCTAGCATTGTTTGCCCGATCTGCTCTATATTATCAAGAGAAATTAAATATCCTCCTACTTTTTGTTCCTACAAATCCTCCTACCCAATTAAATAGTGACATGTGTAATATTTAATGCTCATTTAATGAAATTTTATGATATTTTAGTAAACTAATATGAAATATGTCATCATTTAATTGGGTA